GAGGGAGCGCAGCCAGGACAGTTGACCCAAACTGGCCAAAGCATATTCCACACCATATGACATCAGTATATAAACTCAGTATAAGCTCAGTATATAAACTGGGGGAGTTGGCTGGGAGACAGTGATTGCTGCTTGGGGACAGGCTGGGCATTGGTCAGTGGGTGGTGAGTGGTTGCACTGTACATCACCTGTTTTGTATATTCTTTTATTATTATTACTACTTTCTCTTCCTCTGCTGTCCTATTAAACTGCCTTTGTCTCAACCCATGGGTTTTACTTTTTTTTTCTCCAATTCTCTCCCTCATCCCACCGGGGAGGGTGAGGGTGAGCGAACAGCTGTGTGGTGCTTAGTTGCCAACTGGGGCTAAACCATGACAGCCTCCTTTCCTTTCACTACCAAATTTAAGACAAAGATGCCCAACACATTAGCACATGGTAGACAATGGTGGGTACCTATCTTCATACCATAGCAATTCAACTTTCCTCACTATGACCTTTCTCAAGTGCCCTTCAAAAGTTAACCGATCTAATTCTAGTGGCAACCACTTCCAAACACATCCTTGTCTGCAAATGCATCCCAGCACTTGATGGATGCTTGTGCCAAATTAGTTGGCTAAGAAAAAAAAAAATCCCAAAACATAATCCTAATCTGTTTCCTAGGATGAAATGAAGCAAAGAGGATGCTAGAAGGCAGTAACTTGCTGCTGGTACCTTCTTTCCTGGCTCGCACTGATGACACTGTTAGCAGAATCTCTACTGTACATTAGATTGTCATACATACAAGGGAAGAAACAGCCACAAACACAGGATGTGGAATTCTGAAATATGTACAGGTTGAGTAAGTGCCTTAGTAAACTGACTATCTGACCTTGAAGCTGTGACCATAGGGGCTACACCAAAGTACACGTAAAGAATTCCACATAGCTGCTCCACAGTTTTGGGCATGTCTATGAAAACGTCACAAATGCCACTTCAGCTGTAGTGAAAAAAGAGTATAACCACTTCAAAGAAGACTAAGCACTGTTTCATAAGTAACTTATTCATGCAGAATTTCAGATTAAACAGCTTAAGTCTCTCCTTTTACAGAATAAAAGATTAAGCAATTGTACAAAATATTAATCCCAAACATGGTATATGCCAAAAAGATCTTTGGCATCCTGCACATGTAACCTGCTCTCATTGACAGGGTTATACTATAGAAAGAGAAACTGGGTGACACAATATTCTGAATCAAGAGTCAAAGAATCTAGGAGGGTACAACCCAGCACAGGATGAATTAATTGTTGATGTTTGGAATTCACTCACTCACCTGCATAGTTCTTCAAGGTCATTCATCTGAGTTTAAGTTCCCTTGCTTTTCCTAACTGTTGTACATTCCCCACTAGAAAACCATTAGGTGGATTCCACTCCGATATCCCAGTCTCAACACTACTGCACTTCTTTGTATAACTAAGAGAAAACAAGCTCTTTGTCATTTATTCAGATAGTAAACACCAGTCAACCCAGTACTGCTAAGTTGTTTTTCGAATTAATCCTGCCTAGACAAATCTGAAGAGAGTAATCAGTTTGATGTTTACCCTCAGTGGTTTGGACTATACTCTCTTCAATATGTTGTAACAGTTACCACAGCAAATTCATGTTTCACAGTTCACATTTCTGAAAGACACTGGCTTGACCATACAGTTCTGGGAATGTTAGCCAATATTGAAAAAAATAGGTATGTGCAGGGATCTGAACAAGTAAGTGGAAAAGTTACACATACTCTGCTAGTCTTTGAAACAGAATGTATATTACTGCTATCCTTACATCTAAGAGAAACACAATGCATACCTTTAAGACTAACACGTCCACAAAAAGCAGTGAACAAATACCAGAATCTTTTTCCTACTTTACTCAGTGACTAGACTATTAAAAAAAAAAAACCACCAAAAAACCCACATCTTCATTTCAGTCAGTATTCCAGATGCAGAACAACACCACAGAAAAGCCTCTGCTCTAAGACTTTAAATCTGATGGGCTCAAGTTCCTTGCCCACACTTGTTACCTTTTGCAACCCTGAAACTGAAATAAGCTGGAGCTTAGATAGATTTTGAATCCACTTTCCAAACCTCCTAGAATGAAACACTAATCTAACAATCACAGTTAACTGTATCTAAAGGATAAAAGAGATGGCACTTAAAAGTTCTGAAGATGATTTACCTAAAAGAAAGACAAGTTGTGAAGGAGACTGATCTAATCTGCACTTGGAATGCTTCCTAATTTATCAATCAATCATGGAATTAAGGTGAACTAAGCAGAGAATCACACTCTTCTTATAGCCCTTATTTTGGAATGTACAGGAACACCACAGAGTGCAAGAACAAAGAGAAAGATGTTAGGAGAGGCACAGCTAGAAAAAACTTCTCCCAAGTTTTTGAACTGCAATGATCTGAGAAAAGGTTAAAAAAGCTCTAGAACTTTACCTATACCACAAATCTCCTCCTTATTTCTTTTCATGCTTTAACTTTCACAAAACCAGCCCAAGAACTTCATTTTAAATAACATCATATCTTTCCTCCCCCTTGTTATTTCTCTTACATTTTAGCACATACTTCATTAGCTTTCATGTTTGGCCCAAACTACTTGCATTCTCTTGTGTGAAGCAAGGAATAAGTTTAATGACAGCTCACACACTTGTTGGGAACATGCTGCAGCCCTTCTTCTACAGAAGAAAGAAGGAAGCAGTTACCTAGTATTGTCAAAAAGGGATTACCTTAAGATTACAGGATAGCACCATATGTATTAACTGGACAGCACAAAACTTCAAAATAATGATCAGAAGAAGGTTCATACCTTTTAGGTTGTTAAAAGGCATATGCAATACAGAATACTGCTGGAATGAAATTGCAATTCTTGAAGAAGGTTGGTACAGGCAAGTGTAAGACTTGTCTGTATGCAGCAGCAGCATATGTGCACTGCTAACCCTTTAAAAGTTGCAAATTTAGAATTCTGGTTCAAGTTGAAGTAACATCTCAAAAGAATTACAATTTCTGTAGGCTTTTGCTCTAAATGTATGTACTTGTAGATCCCGTCCTTGACGATTAAGCGGCAGCTGACTTCTGAAGACTGTAGAAGGTAGGAAATCACTGAAAAAACTGTAGTTCTATTAAAAAAGAGCTTAGCAGCCAGTCTGGAGCTAACAATGAACAGCCATTTCTAAGCACATAAACCTGACTCCACAAACCTGCAGGTGTACCAACAGGACACCACTGAAGCGCATACTGCTAAGATCGTTTCCCCAGAGGTGAAGAAAAAGCATATGAATCTGTTAGCTTCTGAAGTCTAGACTGGGGGAACTTCCTCCCTGCCCCCAACCAAAACCAACCCACAAGCTATTCTGAAATGACAGCAATTATATTTGCCTAAATAAGCTTTAACCAAAATAACTGGGCAACCCCCTTGTTTCAGAAGTACTGAACCTTAGCATAGTTGAGCTATGGTTTGTAAATGAACTAAATCCAAATGGAAAGACCCATATGACAAAGCCTTTTCATTTTGAAAGAGGTGAACATTTTCAAACAACTTCTATTGGTTCTATCCACAGAACATCCATACACAGGCACAGGGACATATAGCTAGGTATAGGAATTTATGCCCATAGTGATGTTAAGATTATGAAGAGAAAATCTAAGCGGTCTACATACCACAACTAGGACAGTCTGACAGAAGCAGTAATATCAGCAGTGTTTTGTCCTGCCTCAGCTTCCAAAGAACATTTTGATGAAATGAAGCTGACCAAAGGCACTTGCAAGATAACAGAATTAGGAAAGCATCAAAAATGAGCAATGGCACAAACAAAAACTTTCAGGGATTGCTCCCACATGACCAGCTTGTCTTTCTGATACTTGTATTACCTGGCAAACAAACTTGATTTTGTCTAAAGCTCTGTCACAGAACACAACCTCTTCAAAAAAGAAGAGGGTAATATATTTAGGTGCTCCTTTTCTGATCGCTGAAAACACAACTATTTCATCACTGTGCTTCTCATAAAGCACTGGAATGACTTGCATCCTAGGCAAACTCAGACTAAGTTCTGGACTCCTTATGCAAACATCAATATACAACAGTAATAAGTCATTAAATATCAGATGCCTATTCTGTAATGGATCTATCAAGTGTCTCTTCAAGTGAGCTGCTGAAATCTTGCCAATGAAGAGATTTTGAAGTCTGCATTTAAATTTATGGTTTGTTCCTTTTACTGTTGCAGGATTGTTCAGAACAGCAATATAAGGAGTGGCATCAAAGAATATCACAAGTCTGAGAAGCAGAGGGACACAGTCACTGATATCAATAAATGACAGGGTCTTTTATAATTCGAAAGGCTGGTAAAAAAGCCTCTTTGAAGTAGGAGACTTTCACATTTAAGTCAAGAACTGCCCATGTGAATTTTTCATCTGAAGGGAGTCTAAACAACAACTTGTAGAACTATGAATTGACCTTTCTCCTATATGTGCTGGTATTGTCAACACCTAATATTTTCTTCACTAGGCATCTAAGTTAATTATTTCACTGGTATCAAGCACTGCCCCCTCCACCCTGAAAAAAAACAATCAATTCTACACAGTCTACTGTGAGTAGCATCTTATTTTACAAATTCTTAAGAGTATTGTCCCCAGGAAGGCACTGCAATCTAAGAGTAGTAAGAGTTCACTAACAGAGGTTTCCCAAACAGAAATCTACTTCCCCCAACCCCACCCAACCATGGTCCACAATTCAACTCATTTTAGATGCTACCCGTTCTTGGAGTCCACTCATTTGCAAGGCAACCATTCTGTTTTTCTAATTACTATCCATCAGCACCAAGGTAAGTAACATTACTAAATATTTATAGCTTTTCTCTAAACAATACTGTGATTAGAAGCTAGACAAGGTGCAATTACATAAATTAGTTACAACTGTGCATCAATACTTCTTCCAAAATTGCCAATAATCTTACCACCTCACTGTATCTGGGAACTTACAAAGTTTAGTACTGAAGAGTTTTTGGACTAAGCTGAGTATATGCCTTGCTTCAGTCTTCTGATTTACCTGAAATATGATATGAAAATTAAAGAAAGAAGTTGGTATCTCTCATTCAGATGTTCCAAGTAAGCATGCTTTACTTTTCAAATAAAATTAATTCTCAGAATAAGACATGAACACGTACACCAACACATTCCACAGCCTACATATACATTTAGTGCAGCAAAGGCCAGACATAAAAATTCATATTCAATATGCAAGTAACTATCAGGCATTCGTAAATCATAGAACTTGATGAAAACCTAGCCCCACTTACACAAAAGCGTCCTTTACTTCCTTTTCAATGATGCTTCAATTCTTTCAAAATTATGCTCTATTTAGATTTCTTTTTTGTTACATCTTTTCTCTCAAACTAAATTCTAATACACATTTTCTCTCACCAAAAGTACTTAAGATATTTTGCGTATCAAATTCCTTCTTATGCCTGCTCACTAAAATTAGTGGCTATGAATCTAAATAATGAAATAAAACCCCTGGACTTATTAAAAGTTGTTCCTGCATCTAAAATGAGTTAGAGCTCTCTAAACAGTTTTCTTCATGATTCTAGGCAATTTACTTCTCTGTTTTGCTGTGCTTTTTTCACTTAGGATTGAAGGTAATGCTTATTTTTTGGATGTTTTGTTGGGTTAAAGGGTTTATAGGGTTAAAGACATATTTGCAACATTATTGAGCTCACAGTTACTAGCTATTATGAGTGCAAAAATATGTTATTAAACCAAAAGGATCTGACCATTTGTTTTTCATTTTAGAATCCAGCCTTATAAAAGCACAAACATTTTAAAAAACAGACTTTGTTTTAACTATATATGTTTTAAATTACTTACTGGTTCTTCTTTAATCACCAGGCACAAGTCACCATCACTGCTACGAGTGCCAAACCCATTCAGTGAGGACCCAACCAAAAAGAGTCTACTCTCTGTAATAGAAGAATCACAGAATAAAAACTGATGTGACATATCATAGTTTAAGAGGAAGAACCACCGCAAACCTGAAGAACATTCAAACTGATATTAAGTAATCAAATTCAAAACATACGTGGAAAAATTCGCTGAATTTCTCTCTGGATTTCTGTTCTGCAGAGCTCTTTTCTGTTCAGATCACAGGTCTGTTGCTGACATGCTTGAAACAACTCCAAAACCTGCTGACTTAACTTGAGACACATATTCAAAAAGTAAAGATACAGAGAAGTGAACATTCTTTCCTGTCAGAGATGCAATTACAGGAAACACAGAAGACTGCATTAAAAAAAATCCAGCAAAGTTTTCAAATTTAAATTTGTTCAATCTGTTATGTCTATCCACAGAAAATAATTTTTGCCTCATCAGTATCTGCAGCCTTCCAGGGAATAAGCAGTAAAACACCAGAGATATCTTCTGCTGACTTTAATGTCAGTTTGCCTACCAGTAATGGGGAGAAAAAAAGATATTAAAACTGATTTAAGTTAGCTTTTCTTTTTTATCACACACAAACTATTAAAGCAGCAGTCAGTTCTCTGGTGGAAGGAGGTATTAACTGTTTCTCTTTCACAACACTGTTATATGTTATAATCAACAGGCATATTTATACTAAAAAAAAAATCTTCCGTCATGTTGGTGAAGATAAAGTATGAAGACTGATTTGCCACATGCTTTTTTTTTTTTAAATTAAAAAAGAACAAAAAACACAGTTCCATCTCCACTGTCTACCTAAAGAAGACATCCTCTTCTATATTCCAGAACAGCCAGGACAGTAACTTTTATCTCCTCCTGAAGAGAGGCAGAGGACATCTTTATAGGCCCAATACCATATTTATTCAGAATGGGCTTCTCTCACATGTTGGGGTTTTTTTTCCCCCCATCAGGATTCTCCCTGCCCCCCAATCATGTGACAAATGGACCATCCCTCCAATTTCTACTTTCTGGAGCAGATATGTAGGTTTCCTGACATTAGTATGGAAACCAAAAACACAAGCAAACACCACCCTTACGTCCCAAAAATGCTCCTAACCCAAACACACACAAGGAGGCTATATAGGATCATAGTGGCAGCTACATTTATTAATATTCCTTCTAATGACAGCTCAGCAATAGAGACCCCAGGACACTGTCAAAAAACCTTGCAGAAATTTTTGTGGTCTCCCACAGCACCACTGGATGCTGCCTACTCAGAAGGCAGATGTAAAACACAGGCACAGAAAGGTATTACCTTATCTTTGGCCACAGGAAGCGTGGTTTCTACAGGGTTTGGAAATAAAGTGTCTTGCAATGGAGGGAGATATCCAGTTAAATCTGGTACGTAACGTGCATAGAACAGTGGAGACTGAACTGATCCTGGGAAGGAGTATCTACGGTCTTCTGGTAAAGGCACTGCTTGGTTAACTACAGTTGTTTCAGAACGGTGTGACTGAAACCGCTGCCGTTTGACATCATGCGGAACATTTTGTTCACTTAGTCTCCTAAATGTAAAAAAAGAAAAAAGAGAGACAGTAATTCCTCTAGTTTGCAAACACCAACCTATGATTAGAAGACAGTTGCTAGAAAGTAAAAAAATCAGTGCTTAATTACGTGACTATTTCACTAAACGCAAGTATTCTACAGAACAAAAGGCATGCCCATCCTAGATATTAGGTGAAATAAACCTGGAATGTGAAAAGAGAACACACAACTGCAAAAGTGCAGCCACCCTTGAAGTGACTCGATGCAACTGCTTTACAAAAGTGTCTGTATTAACCAATTGAAACCTAAATTAATTCAGTTAAGCAGGACAGCTCAGAAAGCTGGTCATACTATTTTGGTGACAACATACTTTTTTTTTTTTTTTTTTAAAAGATACATACAGGCTATGTAACAGCACTTTTCTCTTAAATCAATGTAAGTGCAGTGAGAAGTTTTGAGAGTTCTCAATACCCAGTGATGAATAAAATAAATTCGGTAGTGGGGAGGGGAGAAAGAGAAACTTATCACAATAGCCATTCAAAACGTAGCATTTGTCTGTGTCTTAGATTGTACGGACAGTAAACTGTGTAAGCTGGGCAAAAAAGAAACACTGTTCATTTGACAAATCAAGCTAACAATTGTACTAAGCTACACAGGTCATAAACCTAATGTCTCATTCTCAAACACTAGTCTGTCTCTCCTCATTAAGTCATTTGTCACAGGAATTCAAATATATTTGAAGAGATATCATGATCTTACAGATAGCCCCTTGACATCTGAACTCTTCATTACAAAAAAAGTTATACTGAAAGCTGACCAGTGGTTGAATACTGTGGTCCATCCACAGTAAAGAATAGGAGAGGGCATTCATGTTTTATTTACACATCAAGTATTGCATAAAGTTAACCAGCATGGGGGTACTCACATGTTTTTTTAATTAAAAAGCATGAAATCAAATGTTCATATGCATCAATGAGTTAACTATTAATAAAACTAGTTATTTCTTGTAGTCAGAAAAGCTGGCATCAAAGTAGTTTTGGGAGCTGGAGAGACAGTACTATTAATAATAAAAATTTAACTGAAGAGACCTCAAGTCATCATTTCAGTTTTCAAGTCTGAGAGATGTTCTGATAACATTACATACCCGCAATCTTAAAGGAACTCATAATGTAACGCTAAGTCAAAACATAATGCTGTTTCAGCCTATTTTGACTGAGAAGAACTTGCATAAACTCACGTTCAGCAAAAATACCTTAAAAAGAGTCAACTCAAGATCTAAAGATTAACTAGTTGACAGCAGATCTCCTAACATGGCATAGCTTTCCATAAACCAGACTGGTCAAGAGGAAAATGTGCATGCAGCATGAAACCAGGAACTTCTTTAGTTCATGTGATAGTTATATACTCAACTATAACTTAATACCATATATTTAATTGTACTTATTTTCTCATCTGTTAACTCTGGAAGATAAATAACATACAGCAAATAGTTTTGAAGAGAGATTACATAAAGCTTCCTCCCTATCAGCTGATCCCCACAGTTATTACAAACATATATCAACTACTATTTCTGAACTGGTAAGTGATTTTTTTTCTAGAATATTAAAAGAAAATAAAATCATACATTCATCTGAAATTCCTCTTTATGTTGCAACTAAAGTAACAAAGGAAGTTATGTAAATTCAAGTAAGTTTATGCTTTTGAAAAGTGGAAGAAGTACGTTTCCATAAAATTCCTCTTGAAAAAAGAACTTACATAGGCTTGAATTTAGCACTTTGTATTTGAAAAATAAAGCATCACATAATTAAGAAAATCAGGAGAAACATCTAGTGTGTCATCAGAAAAACATCGCAATTCCCATAAAACATTGAGGGTGCAGTCTTACTCTTAACTTGACAAATTAAGAGGAAGAGAACACTCCTCTTATAGTCAAGCATACACAGAGTACAATCTATTATAGTATTAAAATAAAATACATTAAGTCACAGTTCTGCAAGGCTACAGCTGTTGGAAGAGAAAAACTACACATACTAAGTCTCTAAAATTCTCAAAAGCAGGTACATGAACGCTTTAAAGAGTCACGACACGGCCTGTTTCATCAAAACCCATTTTATTTGGTATTCTTGCAATTCCTAACAAAATTCAAGTTGCACAAGCAATTGATACTAGACAAGCTTCACCATGGGTACATTACAACCAGAATTAATTACACATTCACAAAGAACTTACTTTCTTCCTCGGAATGACGTGAGGGCATCAGACGTCTGTACTGGACTGCCATTTCTGTAAGCCATTGGCTGCGGTGTAACAACTGGAATAGTTGCAAGGTTCCCACTCAAAAGAGCCCTGGAAAGACTACAGTCCGTAACTGTTACTCATATGATAACTAAGATGCTTTTTATGGGTTGATAGTTTTTCTTAAGTGAATATGAAACTCAGCAAGTCCCATCATTTTTTTTTTTTTTTTTAGAAGAAATATATCTGCCTTTTCTATCCAAAATGAAGAGCTATTTTAGCATATGTTTTTAACTGGAAAAAATAGAAGATGGTCATTCTTCACAGCACATGTGTAAGAAGAGGTTAGCAAACAAATTAATTTAAGGTACTGTTAAATTTAAGAGCCTAAAAAACACTATGGTGTCTTCAAATCTAGCCCCAAGAATAAATGTTTCTTCCCCTTCTCATATCCTCCCTGTTTTCCCCAGTAAACAAATACAGTTGAAGATCTTTAAAACTGAACTGTGGATTATTAACTCTAATCAGTGCAACAGCATCTTATGCATTATGCACAATGCATGAGAGCATTAAAACTTGCAGGTCACCAACGGAAATGATACAGCTCTGTTTTACACGTGACACCTTGCTATTTTTTTCAAGTTTAATGCAGTTTAATATTAAAACCAATGAAGAATATCCTCCATAAACAGACATACTTCTCTCAAAAGACTGTTAACTCTCTTTTCAACCCAATCTCCACTATCAAATCTTACTGTACTTACACTGCATTCTGAAAATTAAACTGAGCATCAATAACTTGCTGGTGAGAGAGAAGAGTAGGTGGCATATTTAGAGGAACTTTATTGAAGAAATTACTCTGTTGTTGACGTTTTGGAGGGAAGGGTGGACGACCCAAGCTGGAGGAATTTGGGAACATGCTCTTTTCTACTTGAAGTGAACATATATCCTTTTACCTACATTAAAAAAAAAAAAAAAATCTGAATTAGGCAACAAGAAATACTAGCTACCTTTTAAACTCTTGGTTTACAAATTCAAATAATCCAGAATATATTTCCAGAAATTGCTTAAAAGAATTGTGATTGTGGACTAGTTTTATCTCCTTTCTGGACAAGACACTAACTAAAAATACTATATACTCTTAAGTTTCACAATTACTACTTACTTTATTTATGTTTAAAAGTGAATTTTTATTTGCTCCCCTCAATTTTAATTTTAGAAAAATTATATGATACAAGATAAGAGTTTTCATCTCAAGGAAAAGCAACATATTACAGTGGAATATGCTTCTTATTTCAAACATTCCACAATGAGCTTCACAATATATGGGAAGAAACACTTCATAAGAACATGAAGATGCATGTTCTGATCATGAACTATAAGCAAAATTCATTTTTTCATGACACGATAAGCAAAGCAGCAGCCAAATGATGACAGCAACTGGCAAGTAATCTATTCATACTTTAAGAACATAATCTATATGGCATTATTCTATGTTTTTATTTACTGAATGCATTCTGTGATAGAAAAATGTGGGTTTACTACCTTTTAAATTGATTCTGGCACGACTGACTGCTGTTTGATCTTGCATCATTATATGCATTACAGACTAGCAGAAAGGTTGGATGAAAAAGAAAATCTTTGCCTCTACAGTACGTTAAACTACGAATTGCATCCATTCTGCAAATTTTACCTTAAGCTCAACTTATATGTTGGAAACAATGAAAGTTCAGACTTCCCACTAGAAAAGCTGTATCAGAAGATTTTTAAAACCAGTTATCAGTACTGTACATATCTCTCAGCTGCAGTGGAAACCTGACATTATTTTCAAGTTTCTTCATTTTTTACTTCAGACTTAAATAAGAATCCTGCAAACAGAGAAGATGTGTCACTGACACACGCAGTGACTGATGTACGTGATTGAGCTCAATACTCTGCATATGAGTATTTATCCAATTAGCGCGATACAGGGATTCAAATACAAGAGGAAGTAGTTTTTTCAAACAACTTTTAACTGGAACATTCAGGAGTCATAAAAGCAACGGCAGTATTTCCCTAATTATTACATAAAAACCTTTTTATCAACCCAAAGCTTCTGTAACACAACTGGAAAAAATGCTGATAGATCCATGCCCCAGCATGGAAATCCTATCAGCACACAGTAGTCCAACTTTGGAATAAAATTAAAGTATCACTCTTGGGTTCTCTCAATTACAAACTCAAAAAAAAAAAAAATTGTATTAACAGTTACATTAATAGGCATTCTCTCATACACTGAAATAAAATCAGTTATTCCAAACTTTACTGTAATAAGGTCTCACTCTTACCACAGCCTTGAAGCCGCCTTTTACCTACCACTATGACTTGTTATCATGTTTATTTGCTCAGGTTTGACGTCATTCCTTACTGCCTGTGATGACAGCTCACACTAGTGAAAATCCAGTACTACCTACATGGACACAGCTGTACTAGCTCCAAGAAAAAGCTCAAGATTCACGCTCACAGTTTTTTCCTCCTTTTTTTTTTTTTTTTTGGGGGGGGGAGGGAGGTAGGAATGGGAATATTATGTATTAGTGAAAGTCATTTTGGGATGTTTACGTTTAATTTTGCTGAAGACACAAAACTGAAATGCATGACAAGAAAGTCACCTGCCATTTACGTTTAAGCTGAAAGATATTTATATACAGTCTAAACTTTTCCATTTCTAGTACAGACAGGCAATGTAACAACTGTTAGGACCCCTCATTCCTCTCTAAGCAGCCCAGTCCCTCTCGGCATCACACACAGCATACATAAGCAGTTCATGGATATAATTCACCACTAACAGATGTGTGTCAGAATTCAAGACTGAGCTGCAAAAGTAACGAGCTGCAAAAGTAACGCGTTCTTTTTAGTCTAAGTTGTAAACACCAGAAAGAACAGCAACGAAGGAGTTGCCTTCCCAAAACCAAAACAGTGTAGCAACACTGCTGTTTCACAGAAACACCGCAGCATTCACCGTGACTTTCAGTAGCGATTACTGTGGCGGAACTGCCAGGCTCTCCAAAAAAGTTTCATAATCGTTCCAATTCAGGTACACCTGTCCCAGCGGGCACCTCTTCCAAACAAGCGTGTACTTTTGGGGGAACCACACCAGGAAACGCCGCTGGGCTTCCCGTGCGGGCCAGCCCAAGCGCAC